AGTTTATACAGATGTGCATGCATGTGTCTGCAAGCAGTTGAGACTGTAATGTTTTAAAAAGAGTTCCTTCCCCAACTTTTCTGAGGTGCAGTTCCACCAGCATCAAAAAGGAAGATTGTCTGTGTCGTGAGAATATAGCTCCAGAGATCTAATTCTGCCTATTACAGAGTTCCAGTGGAATAACATCTGTTCATCTATTGGGAAACACAACCCTAAACTGACAGCGACTCTGAAATGCAAGCTAAAGGAATTCTGTGGCCCCTTACTGCCCTGGTCAGTTGTTTGTGGGGAAAAAACTGTTTCACTAAATCCTAAAACAGCCTTGCTGAAAAATCTTCTAGGAGCCCTGCTCGGGTTTGTACCTGTACTTCACTCCAAGTGCAATAAATCCTTCAGCTTTTTAGCATATCTCCTCTAGCTGTATTATTCAAAATGGGACCAGGATATGAGGAAATGCTCAAAATTTGAACTTCTCCAGCAGTTGCCAGGACAGCTGGCAAACCTGCTTCCACCTACAACTGTCTTATAGGCTAGGGACAGACATTCAAAAAGCCAGAGCCTGAATTGGCTCAATCTTTGCAGATTAGTCTAACCTGCCTAGACTGAATCAATTTGCAACTGCCCAGACATTCCCTCTGGATTGAGGAAATGCAGACACATTCCTGCGGTGGCCCAGGCTAGAAGCCAGGGGGTGCTGGAGCAGCCCTCTCTTTCCTTCCAAAGTGCTGAGCTGGGAGTGGGTTGGGGCATGGCCAGGCGTCAGCAGGACCTCCAGTTAGGGAGTGGTTTAAACCCCCACCCAGCCTGCACAGTCCCAGGCTTTTCCCCACTCCCTGCTCAGGGGGCAGGTGTGTTGCCAGCCCCCAGCCCCTGGCTAGGACTCTGAGGCAAAGGTGGGGAGGGGTGCAGTGAATGCATCTGTTGGTGATACTGAGCTTTTCAATCTCCCTCTCCCTCCTTCTTCATACTACAAACCTGACAGGTGAGGGAACCAGCAGGGACCTCATAACACAGCATTTATCAGCCCATCAACAAAATAAAAACCTCTCTCAGTTTTTTGCAAGGAAGGACTGGAGGGTCATTACCAGCTAACCTGTTGATTAGCTCCTAAAAGCCTAAGCAGGCACTGTTCTGTCTTCCTGTCCCAGTGAAATTGGAGACACACACACGGAGACACCTCTCAGCATTAGCTAGCTTACCACATGCCTAGGGTCCATTGGGCTGGGGTCCTACTGTGGGAGATGGGAGAGAGGGAAGGAGGGAGTTGGGTATCTCTGCTTGACCAGTTAGCAGTGAGGGGGTGTGGGGCAGGGGCAAGCCAGGCAGACCCTGCTGTGCCTGCAGTCTCTGCTGGAGCTCTGGTTAGGGAGCAGAGGGATGGGGCCAGCCCTCTTCTCTGGAGCAGACAGCCCAGCCCAGCCCAGCTCAGGGCTGCAAAGCGTCTGGGATGCTGGGGACTCTGGGTTAACTTAAATGAGGAAGGGGTCTGGGACAGACATTGCATAAACTGGTTTGACCCAAATCAGTTAAGTCTGATACTACATTCAACAAGGTTTATCTTAAACCAGTTTCAGCCATTTTGAAGCTGGTTTATGCACACTGAACTTACGTTTTGTTACGGGCTTAAACCAGTTTCTGATTGCTTAAGCAGGTTTATATGTCATGTCTGTGCCTAGCCAAAAAGATAAGAGGCTATCAAAAAACCCTCCTTTCTAGACTGACGATACAACTGGACCATTAACCTTGTTTTTTTAAGTAGTATGTATTGACACTGAGTGCAGGCATTACTAGCAGAGGCTTTGTTTTCCCATGAGTTACTGAACTTTACACTTTAGCATTTCTCATGTAGCAACTTCCCAAAAGAACTACAGGAATG